TTATAGCTGTAAACCTGGGGCCTCAGCGGCCTCTCTCAGGAGAAAAAGAACTGGACACACAACAGTTTAAGAAGCCTGCTCTAGGGGCCAAAGGTGGCTTCCTCAGGAAAGCACCTGTCGTACGGGTGTGGTGACCTAAGGCCTGACCTGTAAACCTAGAACTTGGGAAGAGGAAGCAGGAGGATCTCTGGAGTGCACTGGTCAGCTAGTCTTGAAAAGTCTGGGAGCTCCGGAGTCAGAGAGAGACCCTGTCACACACACACACACACACACACACACACACACACACACACACACACCACATGCCCTGCTGTCTCTGTCTTCTCGGCCCCTTTTAGACATTAGCTGCCAAGATCAAGGCTATAGGACAGCCAGTACAGACAGAAGAGAGAGGACTGGTATTTACTGAAAGTGCAGAGACGGGATGCTTTAGGAGTTAACCTAGCTCAGCATCATCCTCATAAGGTCAGACTGTGACCTGACAACACCCACCTGGGTTTGTGACTCAACTCTACCACATATTGCAACTTAGGAAAAACCATGTGCCTTTGTGATTGCCAGAGTTCATGTCTATCTCTTATGATGGGGGTGGTGGAGAGTGAATTGGCTCAGCAGGTAGAGGCATTTGCTATGTATCCTAGAGACCTGGGTTTGATCTGTGGAACTAGGAACCTGTGTGTGTTACTTAGTCTTTTTTTTTTCTTTTTTGTCAACTTGTCACAGCTGGGGTCATCTGGGAAGAAAGAACCTCAGCTGAGAAATTGTGTCCATCAGACTGGCCTGTAGGCAGCTCTGTGGGATTGATTGATTGACTGATAATGTGGGAGGGCCCAGCTCACGGTGAACAGTGCCACCCCTGGGCAGGTGCTCCTGGATTATACGAGAAAGCAGACTGAAGCTGGGCACATGCCTTAATTCCATTGCTCAGAAGGGAGAGGCAGGACAGTCTCTGAATTTTAGGCCAGTCTGGTTTCCATAGCAAGTTCCAGGCCAGACAGGACTATATGGTGAAACCTTGTCTCAAAACAAGGGAAAATAAAGAAGATGGGCTGAGCAAGCTATGAAGGGCAAGCCAGTAAGCAGCATTCCCCAAAGCTTCCTGTCTTAGTTCCTGTTTAGGGTCCTGACCTGGCTTTCCTCACAGCTGGACTGTGTAATCCAGATGTATAAGCCAAGTAAACCCTCTCCTCCCCAATTACTTTGGTCTCATTAGAAATGAAACTAGGACACCATGTAAAGGTGGAATAAGAGAACCAATGTCCTTTGACCCCCCACATACGTGCTGTGCCATGTACACCCACACATCACATGCACTGTGTGCACACACCATGTACACGCACATGCACACAAACAAATGAAATGATGTATGTTTTTAAAAAGATGTGGCTAAATGTTTGGCCTTTCTGTATTCTCTGCAAATCTCAATGGAGACACTTCTAATTCTTCTAAACTTAGGGCTCTTTTCTTTTTGATGTGCATTGGTGTTTTTGCCATGGGTGTCAGGTCCCCTGGAACTGGACTTACAGACAGTTGTGAGCTGCCTTTTGGGTCCTGGGAAATAAACCCGGGTCCTCTAGAAGAGCAGTCAGTGCTCTTAACCACTGAGCCATTTCTCCAGCTCCTCTTTTTAAAAAGTGTATTTATTTATTTTACATCCACGCTACAGTTTCCACTCCCTCCTTCCCTCCCAATCCCCACCCCAACTCCTCTCTGCTCCCACCCCTCAATCCTCTCCTCCATTTCTGTTTAGGAAAGGGCAGGTCTCCCATGAGTATGAACAAAACATGGCATATCAACTTGCAGTAAGACTAAGCACCTCCCGTATGTTAAGATTGGGAAGGAGTCCCAAAAACCAGTAAAGAGTCAGAGACAGCCCTTGTTCCCACTGTTAGAAGTCCCACAAGAGGACTAAGCTACACAATTGTAACATATATGCACAGGGCCTAGATCAGTCCCATGAAGCCTCCCTGGTTGTCAGTTCAGTCTCTGTGAGCCTCTAAGAGCCCACGTTAGTTGGTTCTATGGGTTTTCTTATGGTATCCTTGACCCCTCTGGCTCCTACAATCCTTCCTCCATCTCTTCTGCAGGATTCCCCAAATTCTACCTAAAGTTTGGCTGTGGGTTTGCATCTTTTTCCATCAGTTGCTGGATGAAACCTCTTTGATGATAATTTACCTGGGACTCTCAAGAAGGAGTTTGCAGCCCAGACTGCTGTGGGACAATGGTCTGTACCCTGTCAATTGTATTTTAAATAACGCTAATTGGCCTGGCAGAAAGTATAGGCAGGGTGACCAGGCAGGAAGTAGAGGCGGGATAATGAGAATTCTGGGAAGAGGGAAGTTTCAGTCTGCAGTCATCACCCAGACACAGAGGAAGCCAGTCACAGAGCGAGCAAGTTGTGACTGCCTCGCCAAAAAAGGTACCAAGCCACGTGACAACACAGACAAGTATTATGGGCTAATATAAGTTATAAGAGTTAATAAGAAGCCTGAGATAATAGGTCAATCAGTTTATAATTAATGTTTCTTTGGAATTGAGTGACTGCAGGACTGGGTGGGACAGAAAACTCAGTCAACACCAGACCGTCAACTTAGTGCTTCGATTTAAACATGGGTTTCATGAAGTCTTGAAATTATACTTTCTCTGTCTCCTCTCTCTCTCTCTCTCTCTCTCTCTCTCTCTCTCTGTGCGTGTGCGTGTGTGTGTGTGTGTGTGTGTGTCCATCCTTGGGAGAACATACTGTTCTGATGTGAGAATCTAGTGACAGCTGGGAGTCTTCTCAGGGCTTGCTAGAAGAGATGAAGGCAAGAATAGAAACTGAGGAGTTTTCAAGGACTCATGGGAGACACAATTTACAGAGACTCAGTGACTTACAAGCTAAATAAAATAGAGCTCATGTTTGGAAAATTCACCACAAAACTTCAGAAACCCAAAGCATTTTAAAGAAAAAGGAAACAAAACACATTAACAATTGCTGCAGGAGAGGCTGGATTATCTTCCAACTAGAGACTAGCAGTTGACTTTGACAGCAAGTCAAGGAAGGGCAGGCTCCAGGGACTTTCAAGCTCTCATAGAAAATAACTGTGAACCTAGAATTGTCTTCACAACAATAAAAATACCACCTGAGAACGATATTGGTTCCTGTTCTTTGTCTGTGTCTCTTAACAAAATTCTGATCACTCTGGAAGATGCTGGAAAACTCAAGTGATTGATTGCACTTTAAGTGTGATCAGCTAGGTAATGAATTCATCAGACTGGTAACTGACGGAATTATAAAATAAGGCATGTCCATAAAACAGAGTTGGCTGGGAAAGGAAGGAGGGTTGTTCGTGCAAGGTTGGAAGTGGTGCCCCTTCCCAATCCAGCCAAGTCGAACCAGATCCCACTGTGAACAGTTTGTTGGTAGCAAAGACTCTCTCCTCTGGTTTACTTCCCCTCTCATCTTTCCATGCATCAGGATCTGTTCTGTGTGCCTTCTCTGGAGGAAGATTGACACACGGAACATTGAGCACTGCTAGCTGCTGGTACTCACTGCTAACTGCTGGTACACTTAGGTGACAAAGAGCCTCCTATCAGCCTGATGCTGGCTCTGGATCTGGATCCTGATGGAACCACATAGAATGAGCTCATTGCCCCAGAGAGCTGGAATGTGGATGTTCCCTGGAAAGGAACCTGACCGACTAGGGTGATGAAGACATTTAAGACAAAGGCTACTTAATAATTAGGGTTTCAATACTTTAATACCATATATGTTCACAAAACCAGTACATACCAAGTGAATATGAGCCCTTCTTATAGCCTTGCCTCCCATGAGTCTCACTGACTACTCTCCCTTGACTCTGTCTATCCCCACTTCATTCTTCTTCTTGCAATTTTGAACCTTCCGACAGAGTAACTTCTTTGGGAATATTCCTTAACGTAAAGCCATTCCTTTCTTAAAATCTGGTTCTCAGTTCCCCTGGTATATATAGTCTCTTGAAAACTATTCATTTTGGATATGACTGTATTATTGTGGAACACCAAAAGTGAGTTTTATAAAAATGAAAATAAATGGCCTTTCATTGTTATTCAGATTCAAATTAGCCTTCCTTCAAAATGGCAAATTCTTAGCAAGGTGGCACATGACTGTAAGCTCACTCTCAGAGGGCTGAGACAGTAGGATCAGGAATTCAAGGTCATCCTTGGCTACTTATCCAGTTTGAGGGGAGCCCTGGCTGTATGAGATTCTATTTTAAAACAAACAAACAACAAAAACATGAAAGCAACTGTGACAAACTCTTTAGAAACATCTTATATTCACTTTGGGTAACTTTTTTCTTTTTACATAATATATATCACATGAAAATCAGAAAGCACAAATAAAATCACCTGTAACCCTTCTCACTCTCCCCCACACAGACTTGGCCTCTACCAGACTGTTTGTACGCAGGCAGGTAATGTAAAATGTAATGCTCACTTTACACATATATCTTTTCAAGATGAAGTTACACCTGCAACCAAAATGTAGCCCTGTTTAGAAAAAAAAAAAGCAATTTATCCTTTCTAAAGCGTCATTTGGGTTTTAGTGAATTCCTCATGGACCAGCCACCGAAGTGCTGTGATTTGGAATGGAAGGGTTCACAGCAGGGCAACCGGACATGACCTGGATTATCGTATTCATCTACAAAGAACACCAGGCGCTCAGCCCAAGGATTCCATTTTTAAATCTTAGGGTCTGCACTACATTTGAATTCAGCTTCAGTAATGTCTTTAGATCAACTTGAGCTGACAAATTTCTTAGAAGAAAGTAGAGGAAAGCAATTTGATGGGAATTACACTGTGCGGGGCTTGTCACTCCAGATATTTCACTTTTACATTCAATTTTTTTCCCAATTAATTTAAAGGTAACTGCCATATGTCAGATAGCTAGGCTATTTGTCATTATTATTCATTTATTTTTATGCAGGACTGCCACTTACAAGGACATAATTCTTAAGGAAACATAATTGCTTCAAACTTACCAATTTGGTCAAACAAAACTTTGTGAAATCTTTTCCCTGGAAGGAAGTTAGGAGAGAGCTGGCCAGGACCACTGCCCCGCGTGCATTGTTGGGCCTTTCTAGGACTCACTTGTCTGCTGAGCTCCTTACCGGGGTTCCCAGGTCCCTCGAGTCTATAGAACAATGTCCCAAGTATGATGAAGTCAACCACAAAATTCACTGGTGGAGCGTGGCTTTCCGAGAAAAAGAAGACACGCCCTGAAACACATGGGAAGAGCCACACAGCATGAGATGTAAAAACAAATATCCATTTTGTCACAATGTAAGTTGAAAAGAGCACAGAACCACAGACCCAGAATCTAAAAGAGCGTGGAGCAGGATGGGATACTAGAACTCATGCTATATAGTACCTCGTGTAGACCACAAAACCCAGAGTCAGGGAGGTCGCTCCACAGGACAACTCTGGGCTGGAGAAGCACCCAGAGCCTTCTGCTCATGAGCTGCCCCAGGGTGCTCTTAGTACTGCATGAGTGAAGAACAAGGCACAGGATGCTCGAGCAGGTTCTCCACTATGGGAGGGACTACGTGCTAGACTCCTGAAACTCTACAGTCATACCGACAGTGGAAAGCTGCCCCTATTTAGGAAGTTACCTCCTGATTTCTATTCCAAACCCACTCTTAACTCTGACTCTTTCTAAACAACGATTAAAAGACAAGAAGCTAATGGAAAAATTTTAAAGGTTCAATTACATGCAAGTCAGAAATGTGAGCATCAGGGCTGAAGAGATGGCCTAGAGGTTAAGAACGCTTGTTGCTCTTGGGGAGGACCAGAGCTTGATTCCCAGCACCCAGGTTTAGTGGTTTTCAACCATCTGTAACACCAGCTCCAGGAAATGTGATGGCCTCTTCTGACCTCTGCAGATACCTCAGCTCATGTACAGAGAGAGAGAGAGAGAGAGAGAGAGAGAGAGAGAGAGAGAGAGAAAGTACTCTGTTCACCACAAATTCTACCTCAAACTCACACGGAGCAAATTTGCTTGAACAAATTTGAAGTTCTTAGGAAGCCACATGAAGGGTCACATTGTGATCAATCAAAACTTCTACAATTGGTCAGGTATGGTGGCACATTCCTGTAATTGTAGCATTTGAGAGTCTAAGGCAGAGATTTAGGTTACATGGGTGAGTTTAAGGCTAGCCTGCGCTATACAGCAAGACCCTGTCTTGAAAAGCTGAACAAAAAGAACTATTTTAAGTAATCTACAATCTGACCAGGCTTGCCTGGAATATCGGTACTCAGGAGGTTGGCGCAAGAAGATCAGTAGTTCAAAGCTAGCGTCAGCTACATACCAAGTTCAGAAACCAGCCTGGGCTACATGAGACCCTGCCTCAACAAAAGTTGGAAACCTTTGCAGTCAAGACGCTGCCTGTAAGTGTTATGCAGCCTCATCTCCACTCTTCTAAGGAGATGGCTTGGTGGTTATCCAATTCACTTTAGTCTGGTGATGAATGGTAGTGTGACCATGTGGTCAGACTCTCACTTCCATTCACTTTATGCAGAAATCTGGGTAATAATTTTGAACATTTCCTTTAATAGGGAAAGTAACTGACGTGCAGCAATGAATCAATGAAGAAGTGTGATGATTACCCTGCTTAACATTCTTCCACGTTCCCCAGAGCTTGCAGGATAAAGTCCAGACTCCTTAAACTGACAGTCACACATCTTCAGAGCTCAGCCTCATCTGTCTTAGTACCATTTCACAATTCTCTCCCTTACCCCGGCTCAAGTAAGCAAACCTAGTCTTAGTTCTATGGGAAAATAAAACTTTCCTGGTGTGTGCCTAGCTACCTTCCACCCAGAGTGCAAAGGGCCATTAGCTCACAAATATCCATTTGAAGTGTTATGATTTATATAAACTACATCCTGCATGCAAAAGAGTCAACCCGTGTTCAGTGTTACATGTTTCAAACCCACATTTGTCTTTGCATCACTAATCTCTGGGCAAACGGTACCCACCACTTCCATTTCACTGTCGTGCCATCATTTCAAGCCTTTTACAATCGCTTCTCTTAGCACTGCTCACCCAAATATGTTTTTTTTGTGTGTGTGTATGTGTGTGTATGTAATTGAAATCCCTTAAGATGAACAACCTGTTTTGAAGGATTCTGCAAATACTAATTTTCCTTAGATTCTCTGAAACCACTGACTGCAGCCTCCCCACCTCCTTCTGAAGCTCTCTGTTGTGCATCCAGCTTCCTTCCGTTTCTTAAACTGACATTTTCCAGAGTGCCTTGTCCTTTCTCTTACTTTTTATTCTTTCCAAGATCTTTCTCTGATTGTTTATTCACACCAGTCATTCAAAGCTCTCCACCTTTCTCTAGTTACAAAATTGGATGCTATTAGGTTAGAAACAACTCTAAATTCTTCCTTCTCCATCAGCTCTACAAACTCTTTATGTATCTAGATTATTCTGGCTTCTTGGATATGAGAGTGGAAGAGGGGGATGAGAAACTAAAAAGGGCACTGGGATAAGTCGATAGGATTTAGGTATGACTGAGTTAACAAATACCAGGTCTGTCTTTTATCTTGAGCAATGTGGCATGGAACATACTACACACATCCCATTTGGGTCTCAGTTTCTCTCCAATACATTAGACAAAATAATGCTTATATTTTAGACTTATCATATGAATCCCAATTGTGACTCTCAATAAAACTTTGCCATTGATTTCACACCCATTTACTCCATATTTTTATCGTTTATCTTTCCCAATTCATTTCTTCAGTTGTGTCATAAACATCAGCAAAGGTACATATGTGCACAAGCGTGTTGACTGAATCAAAGCCCTAATTCTCCCTATGTATATGTGTCCAGATTCCAGTCCCCTCTTTTTCCTTCTCCCGCACTGTTCTTGTAAATGAATACCATTTTCCACGCGAACATGAAATATTCGGATCCACAAACATACCCCATCCTCTTTACAAATTGAGATCTCAAATTCTACATGTGTAATAAGGCTTGTTATCCTCCCAGCTGGACACTTTCTTTTATTGTGGTTCCTCCCTCAGGTACTCCTACTCTGCCCAGCATGCAATGTTTTGTGCATAACTGATCCTTCCTGCCTATAGACGGTAGCCCCTCCAGGCGAGCAAATAGCTATGGCTTCATGCTCTATTTCTCTGCTAAGCTAATACACATGTATTAAACAACAAACAAACAAAAAAATCTAGACATTTCCTCAAAGAACTTTCATTGTCCTGGCCTCTTATAAAGAAGTGGAAATAGGATGGTGGGTTAGTGAATTTTTTGTCAACTTGTCACAAGCTCAGGTCATCTGGGAAGAGGGAATCTCAAGGGAAAAAAAATCCCTGCATCAGACAGGCCTGTAGGCAAGTCTGGGGGTGTGTTCTTGACTAACAATTGCCGTGCAAGGGCCCAGCCCACTGTAGACAGTGCCACCTGGGCAGATGGTCCAGGGTTGTATAAAAAATCCGAGCAAACTTTGGAGAGCAAGCAGTAACCCGCATTTCCCCCAAGGACTCTGTGTCTGGTCTTCCCTCCAGGTTCTAGCTAGGGTCCTGTCTTGATTCCCTGCCTTAGCTTCCCTCAGCAACTAACTGTAACTTGGAAGATGAAAGGAACCCTTTCCTCCCCAGGCTGGTTTTCGGTGTTTTATCAGAGCAACAGAAGTCAGACTGGGCAGATGGGGAGGGCTGAGTGCATACACAGTACTGCTGGAAGCACTGCTGGAAGGATTCCCTCGGGTTAAGACAACCGTCCGAAAAATTGACCAGGTAAGACTTTAAGCTCTGTTATCAATTGTGGTCAACCCCGTGGGAAACCCTCCACCAATTTGCTAAGGTTCACCATATTTCTTTTCTTCCCCTGAGCTATTTTCCTAACCTTCCAGTCTCCTCTAAACCAGAGTAAACAAGAGATTTTGTTTTAAGCTCACAATTGAACCCTTAAGGAATGTGTGTGTGTGTGTGTGTGTGTGTGTGCGCGCGCGCGCGCGCGAGTGCACGTGTACGCATGTATATATGTATATATGTTTCTGTGTTAGAATTTGACTATGTTCTTGAAATTTCTTTCAAACAAAACCCAAGAGCAGAGTTTTAGAGACATTAACTTAAGGTAGTACCCAGTGTAACATTTCATACCGTGCAAGTTCAGTACATAAGTTGAAGGGGAGAGAGAGAGAGAAAGCAGTCTTGCTCAAACTGGCACTGAACTCGTCTCCACTTCCCGAGTGCTGTGATCACATAGGAACACCACCATGGCCTGGCTAAGAGCTGATTATAGGTCACTACTGCAGGTTTTAATGTTGGTGAACTGCAGCAGAAAAAGATGTTAGGATACAAAGAGAACATGACACTGCGGGCTTAACTCTCCAACAGGGTAAACTTTGGCACCTGGTGCTATATATATTTAAGTATTGAGATCCTGGGAAATGGAGCTATTATTTTATTTTGAATTTCTTGGTACTGTATCAACTCACAATGTACCCTCTGAATGCAAGAGAGTTCAGGAATAAGAAATAATAGCAGCCCCACTATTCTACCACTCTAGGTATAGATCACATTTAAAAAGTTTTAAACTAATTTTTGCAATTGGTGGCTGTACAGCATGCAATGTATGCGATTATTCGTCTCAGTTATATAAGATCTCATCACTGAAAGAAAATGTTTTTATTGAAACACAGAATAGTAAAAATGGATCTTTGGAAACTATCCGACCTTTTGTTCAAGAAAAATTGAGGCCCATACATCTCACAGGAACCAGGAACTACCTGCTGAAAGCTTAGATTCCTCTCTCAATGCACACACTTCCGTTCTGAAAACCTAGACTTTTCTCACATCAGAGCTTTATAAGTCTCCAGCGGCAAGTTCCATGGTGTTATCACTAAAGAAGGTGTGTGTGTGTGTGTGTGTGTGTGTGACATCAGCAGATAGTGCTTTTGCACTTTTCTTGGCAACTCCTATGGTATGGTACTTTCTAAAATTCAGCTACCTTATTAAGAGCTACCCTGGCGTAGCAGGTAGAGCACAGCACTCTTCTCCGGCATATCCCTCTGAGCCCAGATCCTAATAACACTACTTACTAGGCCATCCTGGCCACTACACCCAACTTCCTTGATCCTTAGTTTCCTATTCAATAAAATGGAAACGACTCAAGTTTGATGTGAAGATCTGAAAGGAAAGCATCTAAGCTACGGTCAGATGAAGGTACACAGCCCACCAAACTCAGGGCAGAGGCGGCTGACTCCAGGAGATTCCGGAACCAAGGTCCCAGGGCCGCCTGGGACTTCAGAGGCTGGAGTCCCGCCTACATCTTCTCGGCCTCGGTGGTTGTCACCCAAGATCCCGACAGTTCTGAGCCTCGTTCCGGAATCTAACAGTTTTAGAGCCTTCTTTTCTCGGCCCGAGCTGGTCGAATAGAGCTTCCGGGCTCCTCCGCTGCCGCTGGCATTCACAGGAATCCAGCACAGCGCTCCATCTTCACGTCTTTCTGAACCTGACCGAAGGTGAGCGGTCACCGCCGCGGACAGCCACCGCCCTCCCGGGTCAGTAGCGCTACACACTCGAGCCAGCTCAGCAGGCTGTGGCGCCGAAGGCCGCGTTACCTAGGAAACTGGGGCGGGGTCTGACATAGACCGCCTTTCGGGGAATTTGCGCAGGCGCAAGCCTGGTTCCGAGTATCGCGAGAACAGCTTCCCGGAAGTTCCACGTCAGTAGGTCGGCAGGTCCGCGGGTCGGTGGCTTCCTGAAGATCAGTGACGCCGGGAGCCTGTGAGAGGCTCGGGCTCGGACAGTCGGAGCCATGGTAGGTCGGGTCCCGCGGGACAGAGAGCGAAGCTCACCGGCTGCGGCGGGTTCCGGGGGCTCCCGGGCTGGGGACCGTGGTGAGACGCGGTCTGCGCCCCTGCTGCGGCCTGGCGGGGTCCTCCCGTCCTGTTGGAATCCTGCTAGGCAGAAGGCCTGGTCCAGAGGCTGGGGTGGTTTGGGTGCCGGCGAGTGAGCGGCTGTTGGCTCTCCTGGCAATCAGGGCGCCTGTCTGTGCACCCGCCCTCTGCAGTGGGGTCCAGTAGCGCAAGTAAATGCCAGGGACAGAAAACGGATCCCAAAGGCAACTTGGACAAAAATCACTTCATTCTGTCATTAAGCTGGTGTCTGTCTGCTAATCTGGTATCCAGGTTGCGTGCAGTGTTTGATAGTGTGCAGACCCCACATTGCAAACTTAGAGGAAAACAAAGCCAAATGTGTATGGAGTCAAAGGTGGCTTTTCAATCGTCGTTTTCTAGGGGCAAAGCAAGATTGGGGAATTGTTTATGAAACTAGCTTATGTGATTTTCTGTACTTTTTAAAAAAATCATCACCGTCACGCTCAAGTGTGACCAGAAATGCCTCTGCACAGGATTGTTACAATGTAAAACGTGTGAGGCTATCTTTCCTGGAAAAAAAAAAGTAAGAAAAATCAGTATTTGTATTCGTAAATATTTTCTTGCGTGTTTTATTTGTTATGGCTCACATGAGCAAATATTCTGGCGATTGAAGACTGGAGGGGAAATAACTCAAGTCCCTTACCTGATGGTTTTTAAAAAAAAAACACTTGAGACAAGGTTTTCACAAAGCAGATTGTGGAAAAGTCAAAACTGGAGCAAGGATTGGCTGGTGAAAGGCGTGGCGACTCCCAGGAAACCTCTTGGAGAAAGAGTTTGGCATAAAATTTAGTGTTTCCAGCTTCTCTCACATCATCCTCATTTGTACACTTTATTGGGTCCCCAAAGTCGAGAAGCCACCTCAACAGACCTTGTATGGTAATCATTTTATATTAAACAGCTAATGTTGATTGAGTCATTTTATGCCTGATTTCATCTTGAGACATTTTTTTTCACGTATTAATTCACATATTGCTTTCATTCTTTATGCGAGTTCCACACCCACAGATTGAACCAGCTTTGAGTGGAAGACATTTGGAGGAAAATACTGTGAACATGCATTTATCTTGTGATAGTATAATATAAGTCTTTGACCCTGTATTGGTGTTTTAACTAATCTAGAGATGGCAGAGAGTAATGGGTAGATTAGAAGCATATACCACAGTATATAAGTCAAACTTATTACTGCATATCTAACTGTTGCAGCTGAGGTTTGAATGTAGCAAGACTCTGGGCCTTGTTAATCCACCTGTTCCTCTCCCCATTCCCAAATAAATAAGGTGTGGAGAGAAAGACCTCTATAACCAATGATCCTGCCCTTAAGAAATACTCACTCGATAAGCCAGAAGAGCTGTGTGCACAGATGTACCCTGGTGAATGGGAAGGAGTCCTTCTGACTAGACGGATCAGAAAAGGCATATTGGTGACAGTGGCATTTAAACTAATTCTGGGGATGAGAACACATTGTGAGTACTGTAACCATCCAGGACCTGCTACAATAGCTTTTACATTGTGACTGTGATGGTAAGTGTGACTACAGGAGCTCTTGCCTGCAGTAATGGACATTATAAAAGTAGTGTCTGAGCATTGGAGTATGTGGAGCTGTACTGGGTTGTTCAAAGATCCCTGAGCACGTTGATCAATTTTAAATCAGTGCTAGCATAAAGTATATATTTATAAGTATATACTTGAACGTGGTGGCTTATGCCCAAGATCCCACTATGGCTCCTGGCATAAATATTCTTCCTGTTTGTTGACTCTTAAGATGAGAGGAAGAAGTTAAAATTTGTGACAGTAGTGAGTGGGGCAAAGGTTCAGAAGACATTGAGAAGATTCTGCCTTCCTGAAACTGGTGTATGATTTAAAGATGATGGCTTGAGTAAGTTTGAGATGGATAGGAACAAGTGACAGTGGACAAGTTCCCAAGGGACCTGAAGAGTTAGAACATGGATTTTGAAAACAGTTGTTGGAGGTGAGGGAGGCATGCACTGAAGAGCAGTAGACAGTGATCTACATCTGACAGAAATCCAAAAAGAGGGGAAGAGAGACCTTGGTAGGTGTTTGTTTCAGGATATTACCTCTGTTGGATCCTCATGTGTTGACAAGTCACCCTAAATTTCTGTCCCATTCATGAATGGAACAGTGCAAAGAAGCTAGCCCAATAACTCATCCTGCCAAGAAAGCTTTCAGGTTGTGCTTTAGGCTTGTTGAAAGGGAAATGTGTTTTAAATTAGCCCATAGGAGAGCGTGGAACCTACTACTCCAGGGCATCATTGTCTAATGGATTACTTCTGAAATGGCATCCCTGGGAGAAACAGAAAACAGTTGGTCAGATAATTTTCTGTTCCATGATTCAGATAATGAGGCTGACTGGAAAGGGGCAGTTTTAAACTATTGCTATTTTATGACTTGGTTTTGTTCAAATTAGTTGTAATTTTTCAGTATTTCTATAAGTTCAAAAGGCCTTCATGGATGTGAATAAACCTTTGTTGGTTAGACATTATACTGCTTGTCTGCAGTTTAAATATTTTCCCACCCCCACATCTTATTAGTTCCAAAGAGCTCATTTACTATGGCTTAGGATGACTACAGCTTCACAAATGATAGTTCCTCATATAACAGTAATGGCATGGACATGAAATTGTGATTTAGTTGATGTTTAAATTTAGTTTAGTTTGCATTTATTTATCTATAAAGTAGGTGTCCTAGAAGTATTATCTGTGGTTCCTTAGAGGTCCCTGTTTTCTGAAGTCACAGATCCGAAGTTTCACTAGTAGTAGGATGTTATTGGCCTTTCCATTAAGTTTATATTTGCACTGATGAAAGGCGACTGTGCTGGGACAGTAATATCAGACCTGCTGATAACACGCCCTTTTTGAGACAAGAGTTTTACCTAGTTTCTCAGGCTGACCTTGAACACACAGTCCTCTTTTCCAGAGCCTAAAGTGCTGAGATTACAGGAGTGCACCACTACACCCAACCTGATATATTCTTGATTGTCAAACAGTTGTTTTTAAAGTAAGAGTTTTTGTAAGAATGCTCTCAATGAAACAGTAACTATTGTTTTACTGTTAATCTCAACACCTGAGTAGGCATTTTCTAAATATTTGCATGACAGAATGAGGATGTGTAAAGTATTTGTAAATCAACTTAGGTCTGGTGCAAAAGGCACTTCAACACAGATGAAAGTTCGGGATGCTGGCGTTACTTGATATGGTGCTGCTTATTCAGACATTTATTAGACATAGTCTGGTAACTGAAGGACGTTAGCTGGTCCCTGACCATGTTTGTTACTGATGATAGAATTTCTGAGACTGAACTTCATGTATTTCTCATACTCAAAGACCTATCAGCTAAAGTAGGTAGTAGTATTAATAAATGTGACTTTTGATTCAGTGTAATGAAATATGCCATATTTGTGGATCTGTGTAACTCAATGAACCATCGTTTCTCAAATGATCAGTGTATTATTATGTTATAAAAAGCCATGCAGGAGTTGATATCTATTCAGAGTATAGGATAGACCTGTGGATTTGTGACTTCAGATCCCACAGTACAAGTGTTCTTTAAGGAACCCTCTTCTCACTCAGGCAGCATCAAAGCAACATCCATTCTCCAAGAAATGATTTACGTACTCCGCTTCTGAACTAGACGTGTTTGAGTCCAGATGGTGATTGTTTTTGTTACATATTATCACTTGAAGTCCTCATAAATTTTAGGTGTTTAAAGAAAGAGGTCTGGATAAGTAAAATTTAAAAACCACTGCTATAAATACAAACTTAAAAAAATATCATTTTTGTAAGTGTGATAACATGGGTGCATTAGACTTGAAACTCTATTCAAAATTTAACAAAGTGAAAACAATTGTTTCATAAGCTTCTTGATACACCATTTCAAGAATATTTTATTTGATTTAAAAAATTTAATTTTCTCATTAATTTTCTTTTCTCCTTAGCCTCTTCGACTTGACATCAAGAGAAAGCTAACTGCTAGATCTGATCGAGTTAAGAGTGTGGATTTGCATCCTACAGAGCCATGGATGTTGGCTAGTCTTTACAATGGCAGCGTGTGTGTTTGGAATCATGAAACTCAGGTAAGATTTTAGTAGCAATAAAATATCGCTGCTAATAAAGAAGCACCAGAGTCTAACAGCTGTGTGTGTGTTGCTTCTCAATAGGAGTTAGGTTTGTGTGGGTGTTGCTTGTGGGAGAAACTCTTTTGGGCGTATTGTATGTGGTCTTTAAATACAGCAACGTTGGTGTAGATAATATTATCACCAACTTTCCCCGCTCTGTCACTAGTTGCCATTCATGTATATTGAGAGTGGCAACAGCATTTTTAGGGGTGAATCCAAATACTCTTACCTTTCAAATAAGGGAATTTGGCGCCCTTTTGAGGCAGTAGGTGCAGTGTTTTAAAACAACAGCAGTGTTTTGTGATTTGGTGCCTCCCTGGCAAATCTTAACCACACTGAGTCTTGATTTATTACTCTGAATGGATGGTAATTGTTGTGATCTTTGCGTGACAGAACTGGTAAAATGGCAGGTAGTTGTTTCTGACTCACAGAGAACCATCTCAGTGTGAGCTGTTGCTTTCTTGACTTAGATGGAGCACTTCCATGGCTGGAGAATGCGGCCTTCTCCACTCTTTAGATGATT